TTTTATTTTATTTTATTTTATTTTATTTTACCCAGGTCAACCTAGTGCCAAGCCACTAAATTGGCAAAGGAAAAGTTAGCAGCAAAGATGGTATAGGTTTGTTTGCTTTGCCTCTTCCTCCAACCTGTAAGTCTTACCTTCTGGATCCAGCCTTGCTAGAGAGTACTACACTAAGGTAGATAATCAGCTGTACATCCTGGGGTTTGTATTTGTTTGAGGGCTGGTTTGTTTTTTTTTTTTTTTTGCTAAGATGCTAAGATAGTTAGCATTGCAGTGTTGGACTCGCTTTTGAATTGTGGGCTGTCCTGCTAGTCACGGTCTCCAGGCTAGCCCAGTCACCAGAACTGGCTTTAAGCCCCATCACTGGACTTTGATACCCTGTTGTCCCACCACTGCCTGGTCAGGCTGTTGTCCCACAGGGTGGCTTCAGTCTTCAGTTAGCACCGGGGATATCAGAGATGAGATGGTCTGTGCATCAGTCTGCATAGACATCAGCATGGGCCAGCCCAGGGCAGCCCTTCTTGTGCTGTGATCTGGAGAGCAAATCCACAGAAAGGTAAGGCCAGCACTGCTAGCACCAGGATTACCTTTTTGCTTCCAGTAGGTACTGAGCAGTTTTGCCGAGTGTCCTTTACAAAAACCTTACAGTTCAGAGAGTTTTCTTGATGGAGTGACTATGACTCTCCTCAGGATTTCCTCTTCTTCTCCTTTAAAGACCTGTGCCTTCTGACAGGTGGTCTGTGCCCTCCAAAGCAATGCCGATCACTCCTCAGGGGAGTCCCCCCACCTCTGCAGCCTGCAGGTGCCTCTGGCACCCGTGTGGTGCTGGGTCACAGCCTGTGGCAGTCAGCCAGTTCCTGCTTCTCCGATCCCATGGTCAGGAGCCAGATTTCGTCACTCTTGCAGAAGAAGTACTTTTTCCTAGTCACCTGGAAAGTGACCCTTCCCTCTGTTCAGTGGAAGTACGACACTGTGTGTCCGTAGGTCCACATCCTGCCATGGGAGTCACAGAGACTTCACAGCTTTGTCTGCTCTACTGAAGCCGCTGTCTTTGCCAGCAGATACTCTGCCTTTCTTTCCATCAGCTACTAACATGATTTCCCTAAACAAACTACTGTATGCTCAAGAAATACTGGGCTTGAGTGTTATAATTCGCTTTTCTATGCTTTTTTTGAAATAACTATCCTAATGCTAAAAATACTTAAAAAAAAAAGTCTTTTAATTGCTTATTGCTTTTGCTATTCTTTACACTTATTTCTGACACTGGGGTTTTTTTCTGAAGCTTCCCAGAAAACATTCCTCCAGCCTTTTTCTTAAGTGAGAGAGAATTAATTGCAGCATATGATAGTGTACTGATTGCATATCATAAGGTTTACAGTTAGCTTTATAACACGTTATTTCATTTGGGGAGGGCTCAGTATATTTTTATTGCTGAATGCATTCTAAATTACTTTGTTAAATATGTGGGGTTCTTAGAGGATGAAACATATGAGAAGACAGTAACAAACTAGCAGATAGATTCTCTACTCCTTTGAGCATTGTATAATCATTTACACTTAGGCAAAGCACATGTGGGTACTATTAAAACACTGACAGTATCTTGTAAGTGTTTAATGCAAGGTTTAAATTATACTGTGAGATAACCAGGCACTGGAGAATAGCCCGAGAATCAGCTCAATCTCACACTGGCAAAACAAGGTCAGATCAAAGACTGTTTTTCCTGCATTGTCAAGAGCATGTAAACACCTCCCCATCATTGAACTAGCCTTGCAACATGCAGCTTACAAAAATTTATCTAAAGTACATTTGTCACATGAAATACGACTTTGCTTATGCTTGTGTTTCAAAATTTATGCACATGCACTATTTTGACCACTTTAAAAGATATTTTTGCTTTAATTCAAAAATTTAGATTTTACTGCAATAATTAAATTTATTGGGTGATTTTATGTCTTTTTTTTTGTTGTTCTTTTTGGTTTTAGTCTGAAAGATCTTATCCAAAGTGAAGATGTGAAACCCAAGCTGCAGTACATCATGACTAACCCTTCCTTTTCTATGGTAACAGTTCAAAGTGAAGACAGTGGGATAACCTGGGAAACCAGCTCAAGCAGATGTTCTACTCCCTGGGCCTCAGAAACTAGTACAACTTCTGATCTTTACAGGATGGAAAGTTCACCGGTAGGTTCTCCTCCAGGAAAAGTTATCTTTATTATGGATGAAGGTAAGATTGTTCGGAAAAGGAAGCGCAGATCTTCAAATAGGGTGCAAATGGCTACAAGCCTGAAGGGGGGCCAAGGCAGTAAAAAACGTGATTCTTCTGGAATGCAGAGGCAAGAACGAAGAACTGTTCTAGGAGATGTGCAGGCCTCCATGTTGAACATTGAACAGGTGGAAACACAAGACACAGATGAGGAAATGTTGGATGATGAAGATCTAGAGAACATCTCAGAAGAGCCAGTAAAACGTGTTCCTATAAGATCCATATTTAGAGAGAGCAGACTGAGAAAAGTAGGGCCAATCCTTGGAGGACCAGTACAGGCTAGAATCCAGATGTTCAACTCAATTTTTGGAGGGACTGAGCTAGCCCCTGAAACATTGGAGAAAAATAGAATCCAGAGAAGTAGCTCAGTTTCAGGAGATTCTGAACAGTTCCTTGAAACATCAGTAAAAGAAAGATTGCAAAAGTTCAGTTCACTTTCAGAAGCAACACATCCAAAACCTTTCCAAAGAGTAAGTGGTAGAAATCTTGAAACACCATCTGAGAGAAGGGAGAAAAGACAGCAACCCACAGCACATTCAAATCAAAGCTATTCTCCACCAACAACGCCTCTTGAAAAACAGCTTATTAATAAAGATGATGTTTCATCTGAAAATATTAAGCCCCTTAAAATGAAAGGTAAACCAAGCAGATTTTCAAGCTTTGGTGCAAAAACAACTCTTCAACATGAAGAAAGAAAAAACAGACAATCTCTTTTGGAGACTCCAAATCAGGTATCAGGACAGTCACTGAAGTCCTGTCCCCCTGAAAAAGCCAGGAAACAGCACACTTATTCACCTGCAGCCAAAACGTCAATAACAGAGCAATCAACCTCCATTTTATCAGAGTCTGATGATGAATTAGAGAAACAAATGCCACTTCCCTCAGCTGAAACTGCAAACAAGAAATCAGACCAATCCCTGCTGACAGCTTCAAATGTTTTGCATGAACCAAAGGAGCAGGAAATTCACCCCAATTCTGCAGGACAGCCTGTTTCAGCAAATATTGTTAATGACTTAGCTAGACAAAGTACCCAACCTATTTTGCCTACAGAACCCGTGTCAGAACATCCTGAGAGGCAAGGACAGAAGTCAGCAGTTCAGTCTTGCTTACCTAGTGCTCCATCAGCTAGCTCAACATATTCCACTCCATATGAAACAAGACAGGAGGATATTATTCTGCAGTCATCAGAAACGGCACAATCTGAGTCTGAACATGTGCTTTTACCACATTCTGTAGATGAAACAGAAAAGCAAGAAACTGAGTGTCACTCATCAACAACTGCACTGTCAGAAATTGAGCCTTCAGGTCTATCGTATTCTGCTAAAAAAAAAGAGGGTCAAAAGACCTCACTACCAGAAACCCAAAATGTTCACTTAGAGAAGCAAACAGAGCCTGAACGAGACTTTTCCTCCTCCCTTCAGGAAACAGAGGAGCAAGGAATTAAACTAAATTCACCTATTTCTGAAAAGATAGATTCTAAATATTTCAGCATTTCATATCCTGTTCGCACAAAACCACAAGAAACTCAGAAAACTTCAGCTGTAAAAAAAGCAATAGACTTGCATCACCCTGATTTTTCCATTGAAAAAAACAAACAAGCAGAGAGTGTGCCAATGGAGATGGAGCATTCAGATTTCTCATATTCCAGCAAAGAAATTGGGGAATCAGAGAGAACACAGATGGCAACAGATCATCCAGACTTCTTTTTTCCCAAGGAAGAAACAGAGGAATTGGAGGGTGCACAGCTGGAGATGGAGCATCCAGACTTTTCTTTTTCCAGGGAAGAAGTGGAGGAACCAGAAAGTGCACAACTAGAGACAGAACATCCAGATTTCTCATACACCGGGAAAGAAATAGAGGAATTGGAGGGTGCACAACTGGAGATGAAGCATCCAGATTTCTCATATTCCAGGGAAGAAAGAGAGGAATCAGAGAGTGCAAAACTGAAGACAGAATATCCAGAATTGTTTTTTTCCACGAAAGAAGCAGAGGAATTGGAGAGTCCCCAGCTGGAGACAGAACATTCAGATTTCTCATATGCCAGGGAAGAAGCAGAGGAATCAGAGGGCGCAAAACTGGAGACAGAATATCCAGAATTGCTTTTTTCAACTAAAGAAACAGAGGAATCCGAAAGTGCCCAACTGGAGACAGAGCAGCAGGATTTCTTGTATTCAGTGGAAGAAACAGAGCAATCAGAGAGTTCACAACTGGAGAAAGAGCATCCAGATTTTTTTTCCAAGGAAGAAACAGAAGAATCAGAGAGTGCACCACTGGAGATGGAGCATCCAGACTTTTCATTTTCCAGGGAAGAAGTGGAGGAATCGGAAGGTGCACAGTCAGGGAGAGAGCACCCAGATTACTTATATTTCAGCAAAGAAATTGGAGAATCAGAAAGCGTACAGCTGAAGACAGAGCACCCAGGTTACTCATATTCCAGAGAAGAAGTGGTAGAATCAGAGAGTGCACAGCTGGAGATAGTGCATCCAGACTTTTCTTTTTCCAGGGAAGAAATGGAGGAATCAGAATGTGCACAGCTGGAGACAGAACACCCAGATTACTCATATTCCAGAGAAGAAGTAGTAGAATCAGAGCGTGCACAGCTGGAGATGGTGCGTCCAGACTTTTCTTTTTCTAGGAAAGAAGTGGAGGAATCAGAAAATGCTCAACTGGAAATGGAACATCAGGAGGTTTTATTTTCCAGTGAAGAAACAGAAAAACCAAAATCTGTTCCTTTTGAAGAGGAGCAGCCAGAGTCTTATTATCCTGAAGAAGCAGAGCAAGAAAAAAAAGCACAGCTTGCACTGGTACCTTCAGATTTGCCATATTTGATGGAAGAATCAGAGAAAGAAAACACCACAGAATTTGAGTTGGTGCATCCAGATATACCTGATTCTGCCAGAAGAGCTGAGACACAGAAAGCTGGGTACCTGGAAACAGCATGTTCAGATTTACCATATCCCACAAATAAAACAAAGCAGCAAGAACTGGCACAACCAGATCTGGACAGTTCTCTTATGTCATATTTTGGTGACAAAGGAGAACAGCCGCAGGCTCTACAGCAGCATTCACAACCTGAAGGTAAACTATACTTCCGTGCCAAGGGAGTGCAAGGAGAAACTACTCAACCGCAGTCAGAGCATCCAGTTTTGTCATATTCTACTGGAAAAGAACAGCAACATAAAACCTCACAGCTGAGAGCAGAACAGCTAGAGACATCATATTCCACTGCTAAAAAAGAAAAACAGGAAAAATTGCAACCAAAGTTGGAACAAGCAGATTCACCATATTCACAGGGAGAAACAGCACAAGAAGCTGAACAAAGAACCTTAGGAAATCCAGAGCCATCATGTTTCATTAGTGAAGCAGAGCAACAGCAAAATGTACAACTAGCTTCAGAAGATAGGGATTTCTCATTTACCACTGGAGAAGTAATGCAAGGAGCGGAGTCAGGATCCTTGGACTCATCACACTCAACTGACAGAGCAAAGCCCTGGCAAATGGCACAGATGGAGCAGGAGCAGTTGGTTCCCTCTTGTTCCACTGCTGGTAGTCATCAACAGGAAACTCCACCACTGGATGTGGCCCAGCCAGGTATATCATATTCCTTTGGCAGAATGGAACGACAAGATATAGTACGAAGAGAGTTGGAACAGCAGGAAACAGCCCAGCAAAAAGCTATGCAAATGGAAATGGAGTGTTCAGATTTGTCAGAAACCTGGGGGAAAGAAGAGCCACAGGTCATAGACCAAATTAATTTGGCACAGCAAGAAGTAGCTCACCCAGAGTTAGTGCATCCATCTTTGCCATATTCTTCCAGTGAACAAATGCAAGAAGAAACACAAACAGAGCCAGCATATCCAGAACAGGTATTCTATGTAAGTACAGAAATGCAGGAGGAAATGACACAACACAAATCAGAGCAACCATTTATTTCATGTTTTACTGGCAAAACAGAGCAACAAGAAATAGTACATTCAGAACTGGAGCAAACATTTTTGCCATCTTCTAGTGGAAAAGAAACTCCACTGGTAATGGAAACGAGTTCAGAATATCCAGATTTGTCATACTCCTTTCACAAAGCTGAACAACAAAAACAGTTGAAACATCCAACCTTACCATTTCGTTTGAAGCAACAAGAAACTGCACCACTGGTGATGGAACATTCAGATTTTTCATGTGACAACAGTGAAGCAAAAGCAGGCGACATCGTAGAGCAGGAGTCAGCACATCCAGAGCTTTCATACTCCATGGGAGAAACACAACACCACAAAGAACATTTAGATTCACCAGGAACCCTGGGTGAAGCAGCACAAGATGAAAGTATGGAATTGGAATCTAAATGCCTAAATTTGTCATGTTCTCATGGCCAAAGAAACCAGCAAGAAACTTCACAATTGGATTCAAAATGTCCAGAGGTATCATTTTCCTTTGGTAAAGTCAAAGAACAAACAGCTCAAAAGTTTGAGTCTAAACATCAAGAATTGCCTAAAGTGGCTAGAAAAAGAGCTTCTCCAGCAACTGCACAAATAGAGTCAAAGCATCCAGATTTGGCATATTCTCCTGGCAAAGGCGATGACCCAGAAATTGCACCACTGGAGATGAAGCATCCTGATTTGTCACATTCCACTGATGAGACAAACCAACAAGAAGTAGTACTGTTGAATCAGAAACAGAGAAAAATTTCTGTTGTCAGAGAAAAGAAGCAGCAAACCACAAAACAGCAGTTAGAGCAAGAAAAGCTATCACATTCTCCTAGTGAAACAGAGCAATTAAAACATGCCCAAGAGGACCTGGAACAACCAGATTTATCATTTTCCATTGACAGGTTGGATGATGAAATGGCCCCACCAGAGGCAGAGCACACTGATGTGGTATATCCTCTGGACAATGCAGAGATGCACCAAAAAGTACGACAAGAAACAGAGCTAACTTACTCCTTTGGAAAAGCAAAACAGAAAATAGTTCAGCCAGCAGTGGAAATTCCACATTTGGCCCATTCTGTAGGTACAGCAGAAGAAAAAGAAGAAATATCAGAAACAGGGCAGGGACATCCTGACTTGCCGCCTTCTGTTTTCAAAGCAGGAGGACTGCAAACTGCACAGCTAAAACCCGAATGCCCTAGTCTAGCATGTTCCGTCAACAAAGTGCAGGAAATGACCCAGCTAGGGTTGGAACAGTCAGACACGTTGCATGTTCATGGAAAAACAGAGCAACTCCCACCTGCCAAGCTGGAGCTGTGCTGCGTAGACTTGGCATCCCTTGCCAACAAAGTGGGGCAGCAAGGCATGGAGCACATAGCCTTGGGACAACCTGATGAGGGACAGTCTGTCAGCAGAGCAGAGGATCCACAGGCTGCAAAAGAGAAACTAGGAGCTTCAGATGCATCATCTCATAATGGAAAAGTGGAGCAAAGAGAAATGACAAAACCAGAACCAAAGCATCCTGATTTATCATATTCCATTGATAAAACACAAACGCAAGAGACTACACAACTGGTGTTAGGAAAACCAGATCTATCATCTTGGCCTGGCAAAACACAGCGAGCACAAACTGCTGAAGCAGAGCAGCCAGGCTTCTTGTATTCTTTCAAAAAAGCTGCACAAGGAGAGAAAGCACAGCCAGAATTGGGACATTCACAGTTAGCTTACTCAGTTAGTGAAGCAGAACAAGAAACTGTACATGTGAAATTACACCATTCAGATTTATCTACTGGCAGATTAGAACACCATGAAATCATACAACCAGAAGCAGAAATAATGAATTTATCATGCTCAGTTGGTGAAACACAGCAACCTCAAATTGCTGAAGTGAATTTGGAGTGTCCGGATTTATTGCATTCCACTGGCACAGTACAGGCACAAGTAAAGATTCAGCCAGAACAGGAACAGACGTGTGATTTTTCATTGTCTCTTAGCAAAGAAGAGCAACGGGAAGGTG